TTGAATGCGATGTGGCCTATACAATGACTTGCGGGGCCAGCCGATGTTCAAGACAAGTCAGTGTTTTTATCCTCCCAGACAAGTCTGGTACCAATTAACCGACCCCGGAGGGATGGAAGGCTTGGTTGGCCCGGGCGACTCACGACCCAGGATTTGATCCCCGGACCGCTCGCGTGGTAAGCGTGCCACTTGCCACTACACCACTTCCGCCCCCAACAGTTATGGAAACGTTTCTTGTAAGCTGAAGCAAGCATGTCCGAGCTATGCAAATAATGCTCGGGAGAATTTGTGCCTTCATTGACCTCAAAACTAGCAAAAATAATAAAGAAAATCAGAAAAGCCAAAAAAAAACAGGCGGAGGACAATTTCGATCCACCTAGCACAAAATCATGGTTCCTCCCATGTGAAAGATTCGCTTCCCAGAGTCTTTCACTCTGCTCGTGTGGTCACCTAGTGGGCGATGTTTGCATTTTACGGGACGACACTCCTTCTAATTCGACGCAACATTCTCCCCCGCCCCTTTGCGATCGGTCAGATTATCCCGACAGTTCGTTCCCCGTCGTTTCCATCACACAATCTCTTGACTGATACGCACACCACACTGCTGACGCCTTAAACCTTTAAGCCGCTCCGTCCTGGGCCAATCACCTACAATTTGCCGTCGCCAAGAGAACCAGTTTTCTTTTTGTATCGGTGAGGTTACGAGGGATCACACGACCAGTTCTCCTTTCATGGTCTTTTCAACAATGCCCTCGCGCTAAGCGCCTACTGAACGATAAGGCCTTGAAAGCTGCTCATTGTCCCGTAGACCCATGGAAACACCGTGCCTCGTCTTCTTATCTTCCCAATAAACAACAGTGCCTATCGATTGAACGGTTATGGTTGTGCTCTGTTCACTCAGGACCACAACCTTGTTCTGGGCCCATAAATGTTATTATTTCGCTTTTAGATGAGAAGATTTGTAGCCTTCGACGTTGTCTGGCGCTCCTGTTCAACAAGGATATCTAAATTTGTTACCACTTGTCCCATTATGCTGTTATCGGTGCCAAAACGGGGCGCAATTTATGGTCGCTTCTGAGCGTCCCCCGTCCTCCTGCTTATGAGCTTATTGACTCTTACTTCTGTACATCAGTGCTTCTTGATCCCTCGAAGAGTTTCTAGCCTACATCCCCGCTGTCCCCCCCCCCCTCCTACCAAAGGATCTCTTGATTCGGCCAGTGTTTTTTACCGAGTTCTTATTGTATCTCCGTGTGTGTTTCTTGGCGCTGTCAGGCGGCCAAGTGTAGATGGTTATCGAACGAATCCATAACTATCGTCGGCACATACACCGTCGTCATTGCCCATACCCACTTCACTCCTCAACCACCTCTTCTTCCAGCCAGTTTCCAAACAATCGATCAATCCCGCAGATTCGATCATCGTCAAGTAATCGATGGGCTTTTTTCACACAGCGCCAGCGAGCAGGTAATCCCTGTTTAGTTAACCGATTCGCTCGAAACATCCCAGATCTTTAAATCCAGCACCCCGGACCAGAGTGCAGCAATTACGAGGATTATTACACGAAGGAGGCGGGGAGGGGGGCGTATTCTGCTCGTTGCGGCGAAAAGTTGGAGAATCTACCGATAAAGGCCTTAAACTTCATTGATTTCGGGAATTCCTTCCTATTTGCGGGCCGCTGTCTTGCCTACTTAACCGATAGGTGTTAGGCGCCTACCCTAGCCCTTCGCTTGAAAGGCCTCTTTTTTGGGGGGGGGGGCCGGAGGGGGAGGCAGGAGGGACCCGGCATCAATCGGGTATGAAGGCATGCACGGAAGGGTTTCGGCACCGCTCCTTACGTTGGCCTGGGGGGTAAGGAGCTGGACATGCAAGCGAATGAGCCACATCACGTAGCCTGGGACTATTTTTTTTCAAGGAATGGGAAGGGGATGGGATCTATCAGCAATTTTTGTTCTCCCTGCGCTTTCTCCCCTCTGGCTCAACGACTAGCGCCACCCACGCAGCACTTTTTCAAAGCCGTGCCTTCGAATCGTTCCCCCACCGAGGAAATGCATCGTGCAAGAATTTTTGTTCTCCTCGTCTGTTCCTCTCCTCTTGGCCTTTAACCCTAGTCGTCCATCACCCCTCAGAAGTTTTTTGATGCTCTGCTTCGAATGTCCCCCCACCAATGATATTAGCGCCAGGGTTTCTAATAAAGGGCAGCCACGGGTAGGGCCAACGCAAGTTGAGGGGAGAGGCGATGTGGTGGTCGTGTCGGCTGCGGCTGCCAAATTGCCAAGACCCATGGCTCACGTTGATATCCCCCCGGATTTTCCGCCCCATAAGCGGTGGGTTGGTAGCTAGAGCTGCACTTCTAACTCTTCTATGCGAGTACAGTCCACCCTGGTCATCTTTTAGTGGACATTCACAGGCCTATCGATTTCAAAAATCCCGTTTTCTTCATATCATCGATTCTGACGTCAGAACATCACTAACATGAATCCCGTTGATCTCAGGTGACAGCGTAGGCATTTTGTGGATCGTCGTAATCGTTCAACTTCCATGCCTCGTTGTTATCTGCTTGGCTCGAGTAAATAATACTATCTAGTTTTTCTCCCATTCTGTAATCTCAGATTCTTTTCTTGCAAAAATGTGCACTGTAGGGATTTGTTTGGTGCTTTTTGACAGTATAACCCGTGAAAAGGCAGGGATCAGTTTCGGAAAATTTCATACTCCTCCAATAATGGGGCCTTTGGTCTCGATACGACCCCTCACCACCATCATCAGCCTTGGGAAGTCCCCAACATGGTCCCCTCCCCCATCCCCTATCTCACACTCACCACAGTGTTTTGGTAGTATTTGGTTTCACCAACTGACACAATCAAACTCCGCCCACTTTTTGTCCAAACGGCGCGTCGAGCGGCGTTTGGGATGTTGGTCGCCCAAACGATCCTTTATCGAATTTTCCACCAATATTACCAAAAAAGCCACCGAAAACCATCTTCTCTCCCAAACCACCACAGTCATCCCGCTTCCAAGATACGACTCACTTTATGAACTTTTTGACCTTCACCAACCCTTAATACAGCCCCCTCGTTGAGGCTGCGCAACCTGTCGCCACAAACCTGACGCAACAACTTTTTGTGCAAAAATTACGGTGTTGCTTATCGAGCGGTGCTATTCACGGTCGCTGCCTCTCTTATGGCTGTGACCTCAGCTATCAATGACCACGTCGGCTAACTCTTTCCCCTTGTTTCTCATGTTCGTTACTTTTGTATCCTAGTGCGTATTTCAGCCTATTGTAAGATAGGGGGCATGTTAGGGTATCACTTCCAAAAACACGGTGAAAAACACTTTTTTCTATTTTGGAAGGGGACCAAGCTTTGGGCTGGTGAGGAGAGAATGCAGGGTGCTTGAGTGTTTTGCATTTTCGCCGAAGTTCCTGCTCTCTCCCAGGCTCAATCTTAGAGAGTGCCCCCGTATTTTGCAATAGCACCCAGCCTGCTTGAGCGATTTTCGCACGTCACGAAATTCCTGCCCTCTCCCAACCTCATTCCCAGAGTATGCCCCCTATCTTGCGATAGCGCCCATGTTTCCCTGCCCTGTTCTTGAATCTCTTTTCAGTTCACTTTTTCTCGTCGTCTTACGTTTCTCCGCCTCTTGAAGGTATTCATCGTATTCCGTGCGTTTGTCCTTTCAGCATAACAGTGCTGAAGCGTCTCGCGCATAATTCATCTACGTTAGTGATTTTGACGATATTTTACTCTTCGATAAGATCAAACTGGAGTTGTTTTCGCCGTTAATTTGCACTCATATTGTTGTCAACTTGTAGCATGTAAAAGTCGATCCCCATCAGAGTCAATGACGTCATGGCCTTTTCGATCACCATAAACTGCATTTTCATTGCTCTTTCGACTCCCCGAATATGATTCGTTCTTCAATATTTTAGCTGTTTTTCTGGCGTTCGTGTAGTAGGAGGGGGCATTTCATGCAGTAGGTTCGGACCAACAGTAATTCCAATTCTGCCAGATGACGAAGTTATTACGGGTAGACAAACCATTTCATTCAGAAGGGAAATAAATGAGTATAATTTCTTCCGATGCAAAACTAATCTGGCGGGTATGTTCGATTTTTGGGTACGGTAGGTACGCAGCAGGCGTGTTACGTACAGGATATCACGATATGCTATAGGTCGTTAGGACTTCCTCTTAGACGTACATAGATGGAACGCGGTGTGAGTAAGTATTAGTTTCCGCACCACCTTCTCCTCCCCCTTCCACTCTTAGTCTTGAGAGGCCGAAAATTAAAAGATAATCCGAATCGGCCCAAAAAATGAAAGGTCAGCGTCCCGAACAGTCACTCGTACATTGCGCTGTCACCCGTGTCTTAAATCGAGCATAATCCCCAAACTAGTTTAGCACCCTTTTTCTGAAAATTCATTATAAAAAAAAAGTTTCTCATGGTTCCAAGTGGCCTCGGGTTGTCCGCATTAAAATGCCCCTCCCAACTATAGTTGAGCCAGCTCTTTTTTTGACAGAATGTTGCTAATCAAGGACAGTTTTTTCAGAATAACTGATCGCTAGTATAAGAGAGGTCACCAGGCGTAATACTCCAGAAGACAGACGTAAGTTTTGCGTGATGGCTATCGCTGGAGGTATGTATTTCCTTGGTCCTCCTGTTTGTAGAGTGACCGTTTCAGGCGATGACCGTTTGGCTTCAAGTGGCCCTCGCGGTCGTCATGTTCCTCACAACCGCCATTGCCGGCTTCATTCCGCTGAAGGTAGGTTACGCGTGGTGCGTGAGGCCTTCCAGATGAACACCAAGATTGTCTTCAGCTTCTGCGATTTCTCGACAAACGGCATGGCGATAACAAGAAGCACGGCAGATGGCTCTCACTGCTCTCGTGCTTCTCCGGCGGTGTTTTCATGGGAACGTGCTTCCTCGACATCATACCCCATATTAAGTTAGTTCAATTTTCTATGCACAAAGTGAAAAATTAGGTGCGTTCATGGGATGCGCCACATATCTGACTTCTGTTTAAAAGCGTATAATCAGTTGAAAACGTTGCTCACTTTATGGACCGAAAAAAGTCAGGCATCGCATTCATTATTTTTCTATACTGTTAGATGAAACAGCTACAAAATCGATGGACAACCTCATTGACTCGGATGAAGTATTAATCGCGGCACCTTCTGCACCGCTGTTCACTTTGGCACCATGGAAAAGCTCACCGGCGGTGCGGACGCGTTCGCGTGTTGATGACGTCACAGCGGCGGGAGGGAGCGAGCAAGGGCAAGCTCTGCCACCAATACTTCAATACGTTAAGTACTCCGAGCATTTATCGCACTCCTACTTCGCTGTGTAATAATTAGATGTAAGTGGGAATCGAACTAAAACAGCAGATTTGATTCATTCAACTTCAACTTGACTGTGTACTCCTAACGGTTTGCATGTGAAAGGCCCAGAGGCAGACCCCCACCCGATGGGCAGACCCTCTCGTAAAATTGTACGGCCAGCTGTGGCGCAGAAGAGCCCGAAGCAGAGCCTGGAAGATGTGCGACCTGCGTTTCTGGCGTGCCCGGGACGAATAGCGGTCGAGAAGTAAGCCTAACTTCCTGTAGATTC